TATATATATATATATATATATATATATATATATATATATATATGGTTTTGCATCGGCGTCGCAATGTCCAAATCCGTTTATGCCAGCCAATTGTTGAGTAGCTGGTCACATGATCAAGTTGGCAATTCCCTGTACTAAAGGATCTTTAAGTGCAACAATTTAACAGTGTCTTCTGCATTGATGAGAACCAGTATTGTACTTGTCTGCCCCGGTCTGTCCTAGTTCAGTAAGCAAATTGACCAATTACAGTCGTTGATTCTTGGACCGTAAGAAGAATCAATGACTGTGATTGGTCAATTTGCTTACTGCTTACGTTTTACTGCTTAAGTTTTTCTATGTGCCACCAGTTTAAAGGGACGTCTATATTGGAAGTAAATAGCAAGAAATAGGAAGTAAGAGTAAGAAATTGACCAACCACAGTCGAATGTGAGAAGGATAATTAACTATGATTGGTCAATTTCTTATTCTTACTTCTTACTTCCAATGTAGACGTCCCTTTAAAGATGAAATCTTTGATGTTTGTTACCTGATCACGTGATAATCCGCCATGTTTTGAATAGTACGAAAGCGCGTTATTTAAAAATATGAAATAAAAAAAATAGTTTAAAAATATCTAGCTCCTTATATTGCAGATTAATTGATGAAATAGAAGATGGAAGATGGACGTTAAGATGGAAGAAATAGAAGTTAAGGTAGAAGAATATTCTGATGTAAAACAAGAAACACAAGTGGAAACTGCATTTTATCACACATAAATATCGCGTGCTATTATCACTATTTAAAACACAGCAATGTAATATAACATTTTAACAATACTGTCATTTACTTCATTATTTTATTACCATTTTTATTAATCTTATATTAAATTTCTTGATCAATTATTACAATTTTAAATATTACAATTTAATATTAGTATCACATTTTAATTAAATATTACATTTTAATTAATAAATATTACATTTTAATTATTACAATTTTATTACAAATATAATTTACAATTATTCCTTCTCTTTCTTCTTCTTCTTCTTTTTCTTCTTTTGTCCTGTAAATAGAGAATATGTCATAAGTCTTTATTCCCAATTCGTATTAGTTAAAGTTTCCTACAGTTCCTAACTTACCTTCGTTCGTTTCAGAAGCTTGAAATTGTACAGAAATATCTGCTTGTTTCTCTGTTTCCTTCATTGTATCGGGTACACTCTCTGTTTCGACTGGTGCCTGCTTCATCTTTTTCTTCTTTTTCTTTGTTGAAATATCCAGATCTATTTGTAATTCTTGCGTACCGGAAGGGCCCGCTACGTCTTCAGTTTTGTGTTCCACATCACGTTTTTTCTTTTTCTTCGATGAAGATAGATCTTCTTCCACCTGCACACCAGAAGACATCTCCATTGTAGACGTTAGACTATGTTTCTTTTTCTTCTTCGGTAAATTGGTCGACTCCGTTTCTGCTTGCGCTTCTTGAATACCAAAAGACTCTCTTGTGTCTTCTGTTGTAACCATCGAGCTGTGTTTCCTCTTTTTCTTTTTCGGTATATCAGTTGGTTCCGTTTTCACTTGTGCTTCTTGTACAGCAGAAGCCTCTTCTACTTCCTCTGTTACTATCATCGAGCTGTGTTTCTTTTTCTTCTTCTTCGGCTCAGTCGACTCGGTTTCTATTTTTACTTCTTGCACACCGGAAGACTCTCCTACATCCTCCGTTGCCATTAAACTACGTTTCCTCTTTTTCTTCTTCTTCTTATCTACCTCTTCGTTGTCCTGCTGCGATCCTTCAATTATCTCCTCAACCAAGGCATTGCTTGGAGTATCCTTTTTCAAAGTCGAGTCAATAGATGTAGGATACTGTGCATATTCGTTGTCGCTGTGATACTTTTTGAACTTGGTTTTTGCTTTGAGAGTGCCACTAATTTTGCGTACATTTCCTAGTTCAAGGAGCTGCAGTCGTGCCTCCAATTTCTTCTTATGTTCCACTCCAAGATCGAAGCTGGTGTTCTCGCCCAATGCATCAAATCTCGTGGCCAAAGAAGCTTTCGCCGCCAACATCCTGGACATCTTGCCTTTGTTCTTCTTCGAAGATTGGCCGATAAGATTTGCATGATAGATCAGACCATATTTGGGTGTGTCTTTTTTCATCTTGAGTGCGCGGAAGAGCGCTTTTTCCGCGCCTAAAATCTGCACGGTAGACGCTGGGTGTTTGGCAAGATTAACAAGGGAACCAGCATGCGACATGAGACGTGCACCGACCAGTTCTCCTACCAATATCGACAGATTCGGCGCCAACGCCATCATTCTGGACTTCAGATAGTCATGCAGTTGGATTCTGTAATCGGACAGAAGGATTATTTCATTACACAGGTATTGCGTGTATTCGGCATCCTCCTCGGAGATCTCCGTGCCCATTGAAATCTCCGCAGCCTCCTTCACTTGTTCTTCAATCTCTTCGGGCAAAATGTCCGACAAGTCGCATTTTACAATATTATCTCGTATGCCGACGAGCTGCACCGTCTTTACATATGCCATGTTATCCTGAATAATCTTACTCAACTCAGGGAAGTGCCAGCCGTACCACTCACGGCATCGCATTATGTAGTTGTTCAATTCTTTATCCAGTTCATCCAACAGATTCACTGCCTGTATCACCATAGTATCAACCTTATCAGGTGAGAATTTTAGCTTGTACCTGGACAAGCTGTGTGCCAATCCTAACCTCATGGCAGTCATCTCTTTCTTGGGTACTCCAGCCAACAGATTGTCCAATTGACTCCTGATACCTCTCATCAGTTCCTGCACTGCCATGTTACTCACAAAATTTAAGCCTAGTTTCTCCTTTATAGCATTGCCTAACTTGACATCAGCAACTGCTATTTGGTCATGTGTCTCACAGTATGTCTTGAGAGCTTTCTTCAAGGACTTGCATAGTTTACCCTCCACAGCTGCTGTGGTGGCTGACAATGCTTCAGTCGTGTCCTCAAACTTGTAAAAGTGCTTCAATGTAATTCTGAAAGAAAAGAATATCTTCAATCAATATTCAAACTACACAATATGCTGTTAAATCGATAAGGCAAAGAGTTAACTCAAAATTATAAATAACATACAAGTATGTATATAAGTAATATGAAACCTACTTTATATATACGCATGTGTTACTTATACATTGTGCAATTAGTTGTTTATTAAGAATTACAAAACATATTAAGAATAGTAATAAATACAATGATCATTTTTATGAATTAACAAGTACGAATTAATAAGTACGAGTAACACTTACAATTCGCTGGCCCTTTGTGGCGTTGCAAAGTCCTGGTACAGATTCTCCGACTGTGCAAGTTTATTGTTGTCCAGCAACTAGGAAAAATATTATTTTATTGTTATACATATTTCCGAACTTAATAAGACATTACATTATTTGGTCGAAAATAAAGTTGACACGTGTATCGCGCTGTTTAGTTAGGAAGTCATATCAGTTTACTGTCATAACCAATATTTAATTTACCTTGAAGATTGCATATCCCGCCGCTGTTTCGAATAGCACCAACATGATTGCTACGTTGTTTTTGCAAATCGATACATATGATGATTATCTTCATACAGCTTGACGCTAGAATCAATGTTCGGAATAAGCACGTGTATAACCTAAAAATGAGAATACCGCGAACGAACAAAACTAATTTTTAGTAAATGGCACTACGAACAAAAATGATATTACATCATGCGTCACTGCCAGTGCGCGGCGTGCACGGCACCAGGAAAGTATCTAAGACAAATAATATAGTGTACCGTTTGAATCCCTATTTTATTATTGAAAAATTGTTAAAACAATGACAAAAAAGGAACCTATATATTTATAAAGAACAAGTATTTACAAAAATTATTTATTTAGTAATCATATACTAATTACCAAGTATATTATTATTTTAACGCATCAAACATAAAATTCGGTATACAGTATAATAAAAGAAAAAAGATGGTAGAAAGAATATTCGTATAAAGAAATAAAATTGGGTGTAGTAAAATAAAACCCTCAACTTTGGGTGTTAACCACAGATGTCTATATTAAACTAGATTGCTAACAAGAACTTCGAACGTGTGTCGCGTAAGGTTTCCGATTGCATGCGAGAAAATGGCGGCGGTCTGTGTGTGTGTGAGGTTGGTGTGTTCAGTACTTACAATGTACAATGTGAGTCAGCATGGCCATTAAATTAATTTGTCGTAAAACCAAAAATTCCAGCATTTTATTGCATCAAAAAATGTCGTAACAAAAAAATAGATGGTATTCGACGTTATTTGCTCTGCTCATTTTCAACAAAAGAATTTTATGACTAAACGTAATGAAATATGTGGCGGTAACGGCCATTTTCTCGCATGCATCGGAAACTACCGGACACAACCGTTACATGCTTTTAGATAGCCTGTTAGTAATCTAGTTTAGTATAGATATCTATGATTTTAACTCTTAAATTTAATGGCTCCTGTTCACAGGACGCGGTAATGCTTGCCGCGCGGCGGAAGTTGGCGCGACAGCCAATCAATATGCTGCTTTTCGTAATAACCTTCTAGCTCTTACGGAAAAACAACATATTGATTGGCTGTCGCGCGGACTTCCGCCGCGCGGCAAGCATTACCGCGTCCTGTGTGCAAGAGCCATAAGTGTTTATCCCCAGTTTTCGGGTGTTACTCCCAAAATTGAGTGTTTTTTGTAAGTGTTTCTTTGAGTCGTCTTAACGAATGAGGTTTGCTACGTGGCAAATTCCAAAGAAAAGTATTAAATAATTAATGTTCTTGAAGTTTGGTTTAGGACAAGACAAATATTATTTAACTTGAGTAAGTTATACACTTACAATCGCAACGCTAATGTTTTAACGCGACATGAATGTAACGAAACGAGAGTTATTAATGAGTCCATCACGTATTAATTAAGTCCCTCTTATATCTGTTTTAGCACCTTATGGCCGAAGGTTCAGTTTAATAAAGAATAAGTAAGTATCTGTATTAAACTATAAGTATCTGTAGTAATAATTACCTTACTAAGTTTTTACGAGCCTCAGTCCCTTCTTCCAAAGATTTGCATTGCGACGGAAAGTAAAACGATGCTGACGTCGTTAGGAGCAGAGAGCAAGGAGAAAAATGAGCTTAATAAGCGCGCGCTGGCATTATATAACTATAATAGATGTCGCTGTAAGCGATCACGGTTCGCAAAATGGTTCTACCCATTGGCTGCGTTCAGCAGAGGAAGTTGCTTTGCAACTGTGATAAAATTCGTGAATCTGATTGATACATGCTCTTGGATTCAACTAAATTTAAGAACATACTCCAGTCAGGTTCATGACTTTTACAATAGTTGCAAAGCAGTTTCTCTGCTGAATGCAGCCAATGGCTTGATTTACATCGTGCACTTGATTCGCGTACTAAATAGTAACTTTCTATTAGATAATCTTAATATCGTCAATGCATATCAATAGCGACACATTCTATCAATACAATACGCTTTGTTGATGAATATTATACCAGCTTAATATACCGTTGTTTATATATATCGTCGATATTAAGATTATCTAATAGAAAGTTATTATTTAGTACGCGTATCAAGTGCACGATGTAAACCAGGGGCTCGATTCTCTAACTAGTTGCGTATACATAAGTTTTACTGCTCAGGTTTAATCATACCGTAAAATAGCTGCGCAGTAAAACTTACGTATATGTAACTAGTTAGAGAATCGAGCCTTAGGCCATTAATAAAGGCCATTACACACAAAATTTCGTAAGAACTTAAATCGTAAGCGTAAGGAAATCGACCAATCCCAATCGAGTATTCGGCTCTTCGTAATGGAGGGATTACGAAGAGCCGAGTGCTCGATTGGGATTGGCCGAATTCTTTACGCTTACGTTTTAAGTTCTTACGGAATTTTGTGTGTGATGGCCTTAAAGCCCGTATCAGATTACGGATTAAGATTGAGATTGAATTGAAAATTGGCCAATCAGAGCAAAGTTCACTAAATTTGAGCTTAGTGAATTTTACTCTGATTGGCTAAATTTCAATTCAATCTCAATCCTAATCTATAGTCTGATACGGACTTAAAGGCCATCGCACACAAAATTACATAGACGCATATGCATAGCATAAGATAGTATGGACCCAAGAGCATCGAATATTAAGTATCAATCATCAATATGGCGACTTAATATTCAATGCTCATTGGTCCATATGATCTTATGCTATGCATATGCGCTATGTAATTTTGTGTGTGATGGCCCTTACTCTCGTTTCGCCACATATTTCATTACGTTTAGTCATAAAATTTTTTGTTGAAAATGAGCAGAGCAAATAACGTCGAATACTATCTATTTTTTTGTTATGACATTTTTTGATGCAATAAGATGCTAGAATTTTTGGTTTTACGACAGTAATTTAATGGCCACGTTGACTCAATTGTACATGTAAGTTTGAACACACACCTCACACACACATACACACACACACACACACACAGCCGCCGCTATTTTCTAGCATGCAACACATTCGAAGCTCTTAGCAATCTTTGTCAGCAATCTAGTTTAATGTAGACATCTGTGGTTAACACCTAAAGTTGGGGGTTTTATTTTACTACACCCAATTTTATTTCTTTGTACGATTATCCTTTCTACCATTTTTTTTCTTTTATTGTTATACTGTATACAGAATTTTATGTTTAATGCGTTAAAATAATAATATACTTGGTAATTAGTATAATTACTAAATAAATAATTTTTGTAAATACTTGTTCTTCTTTATAAATATATAGGTTCCTTTTTTTGTCATTGTTTTAACAATTTTTCAATAATAATATAGGGATTCCAACGGTACACTATATTATTTGTCTTATAGCGAATTCGGTAGCTTGCACTAGTGCGCACTGAGTGCGCATTAAGGCTTGTTTACAGTACATTCTTATATTTAAGATCGTGTCTTAAATACATATTTAAAAACATTTTAACTAATAAAATGATTCGTACGGATGTTATACATATCATATTATGGTTAAAAATATTTGAAAATTTATTTGAGAATTATTTAAGACAATCTTTAAATATAATAACATACTATGAACAAGCCTTAGTGCGCACTCAGTGCACACTAGTGCAAGCAACCGAATTCGCTATTAGATACTTTCCTGGTGCCGTGCACGCCGCGCACTGGCAGTGACGCATGATGTAATATCATTTTTGTGGGAGCGGTGCACTTGGACACGGTGCATTTAGACACAGCCAATCACAGCACCGTGTGATTAGAGACAATTGTAGGGTCCCTTGGAACAGCGACTTGTGATTGGACTGTGTCCAATTGCCCCGTGTCCATGTGATATACACCCCATTTTTGTTCGTAGTGCCGTTTATTAAAGGTTAGTTTCGTTCGTTCGCGGTATTCTCATTTTTAGGTTATACACGTGCTTATTCCGAACATTGATTCTAGCGTCAAGTTGTATGAAGATAATCATCGTATGTATCGATTTGCAAAAACAACGTAGCAATCATGTTGGTGCTATTCGAAACAGCGGCGGGATATGCAATTTTCAAGGTAAATTAAATATTGGTTATGACAGTAAACTGATATGATTTCCTAACTAAACAGCGCGATACACGTGTCAACTTTATTTTCGACCAAATAATGTAATGTCTTATTAAGTTCGGGAATATGTATAACAATAAAATAATATTTTTCCTAGTTGCTGGACAACAATAAACTTGCACAGTCGGAGAATCTGTACCAGGACTTTGCAACGCCACAAAGGGCCAGCGAATTGTAAGTGTTACTCGTATTTATTAATTCGTACTTTTTAATTCGTAAAAATGTATTTATTATTATTCTTAATGTGTTTTTTAATTCTTAATAAACAACTAATTGCACAATGTACAAGTAACAGATGCATATGTATAAAGAAAGTCTCATATTACTTATATACATACTTGTATGTTATTTATAATTTTGAGTTAACTCTTTGGCTTACAGATTTAACAGCATATTGTGTAGTTTGAATATTCATTGAAGATATTCTTTTTTTTACAGAATTACCTTGAAGCACTTTTACAAGTTTGAGGACACAACCGAAGCATTGTCAGCCACCACGGCAGCTGTGGAGGGTAAATTATGCAAGTCCTTGAAGAAAGCTCTCAAGAAATACTGCGAAACACATGACCAAATAGCAGTTGCTGATGTAAAGTTAGGCAATGCTATAAAGGAGAAACTAGGCTTAAATTTTGTGAGTAACATGGCAGTGCAGGAACTGATGAGAGGTATCAGGGGTCAATTGGACAATCTGTTGGCTGGAATACCCAAGAAAGAAATGACTGCCATGAGATTAGGACTGGCACACAGCTTGTCCAGGTACAAGCTAAAATTCTCACCTGATAAGGTTGATACTATGGTGATACAGGCAGTGAATCTGTTGGATGAATTGGATAAAGAATTGAACAACTACATGATGCGATGCCGTGAGTGGTACGGCTGGCACTTCCCTGAGCTGAGTAAGATTATTCAGGATAACATGGCTTACGTGAAGACGGTGCAGCTCGTCGGCATACGAGACAACATTGTAAAATGCGACTTATCGGACATCCTGGCCGAAGAGATTGAGGAACAAGTGAAAGAGGCTGCGGAGGTTTCAATGGGCACGGAGATCTCCGAGGAGGATGCCGAATACACGCAATACCTGTGCAGCGAGATAATCTTGTTGTCCGATTACAGAACTCAGCTGTACGACTATCTGAAGTCCAGAATGATGGCGTTGGCGCCGAATCTGTCGATATTGGTAGGAGAACTGGTCGGTGCACGTCTCATGTCGCATGCTGGTTCCCTTGTTAATCTTGCCAAACATCCAGCGTCTACCGTGCAGATTTTAGGCGCGGAAAAAGCGCTCTTCCGCGCACTCAAGATGAAGAAAGACACGCCCAAATACGGTCTGATCTATCATGCAAATCTCATCGGCCAATCTTCGAAGAAGAACAAAGGCAAGATGTCCAGGATGTTGGCAGCGAAAGCTTCTTTGGCCACGAGATTTGATGCATTGGGCGAGAACACCAGCTTCGATCTTGGAGTGGAACATAAGAAGAAATTGGAGGCACGACTGCAGCTCCTTGAACTAGGAAATGTACGCAAAATTAGTGGCACTCTCAAAGCAAAAACCAAGTTCAAAAAGTATCACAGCGACAATGAGTATGCACAGTATCCTACATCTATTGACTCAACTTTGAAAAAGGATATTCCAAGCAAGGTCTTGGTTGAGGAGATAATTGAAGAATCGCAGCAGGACAACGAAGAGGTAGATAAGAAGAAGAAGAAAAAAAAGAAACGTAGTTTAATGGTTGCAACGGAGGATGTAGGAGAGTCTTCCGGTGTGCAAGAAGTAAAAATAGAAACCGAGTCGACTGAGCCGAAGAAGAAGAAAAAGAAACGCAGCTCGATGATAGTAACGGAGGAAGTAGAAGAGACTTCTGCTGTACAAGAAGCACAAGTGAAAACGGAACCAACTGATATACCGAAAAAGAAAAAGAGGAAACACAGCACGATGGTTACAACAGAAGACACAAGAGAGTCTTTTGGTATTCAAGAAGCGCAAGCAGAAACGGAGTCGACCAATATACCGAAGAAGAAAAAGAAACATAGTCTAACGTCTACAATGGAGATGTCTTCTGGTGTGCAGGTGGAAGAAGATCTATCCTCATCGAAGAAAAAGAAAAAACGTGATGTGGAACACAAAACTGAAGACGTAGCGGGCTCTTCCGATACGCAAGAATTACAAAAGAAAAAAAAGAAGAAGAAGAAGAAAGAGAAGGAATAATTGTATGGTCAAGAAATTTAATGTAAGATTAAAATGGTAATAAAATAATGAAGTAAATAACAGTAAAATGTTATATTACATCGCTGTGTTTTAAATGTTGATAATAGTACACGATATTGTTTATGCGAAATAAAAACATTTTTTACTATAGAACTAGTATATTACTATACTAGTATATTACTAGTTTTTACTATAGAACTAGTATATTATACACAGATGCAAAATATGAATACAATGAGTGATTATTTTATGTAACATAATAATATAGTTTTTCGTAAATATAATTTTTACACACATATACTCTTTTTATTTTAGAAGATTCTTCATATTCTGGACTATTAAAATTTGAAGTCAACATTTAACTGGTTGTACATATATATAATTCTTCGAGTTACTCAGAAACAAAATTTACATGGTTGCATTATGAGAAGTTCCTTTTAACAATATATTAATAGGTCGGTAATATGTCAAAGAGCGCATATTATATGATTATGGGAAGAATTATATTTTCCTACCTTTGTGTGAGTTATAATGCAATCAACCAATTGTAACCATGAAATTAAAATATACTGATTAATATATCCATTGGTTTTGTTTATTCAGATTCTTTGTACTCTGTACAATGGTTTCCTTTGGTAGCGTTTATAGTAATTCCTGAAAATCCTTTTGATGTTAAGAAAGATTGAGGTATAATTGTTCAAAATCACTTATGTTAATCTTAAAGAGGAGTTGTGATGAAAAATCCGAGAATATTTTTATAACAGAATCATTTTATTTACCCCATGTGTGATACGCAAATATAACTATTAAGTCTACTATATATTTTATCCTAACATTTATATTTGCTTATTAAAAAAAAAAAGTGTGACTCTGAAACAGTTATATAACAATTACATAATAGCCGAATTTCTGAAAATATAATTATGTTTCGTATATATTAATACGTAATTTTGTTTGCGATTTACGGAAATATATAATTTTTCAAAAAGACAAACTATAATTAGATTGTACAAACGTATGGTTATACGACATTGTACTATAGGACTCGCTTGAAATTATCAAGTTAATAATTGATACAAAACTGACTGGCTAAATATCTTACATTACAGTATATATTTAATTTGATAATTAATGTTGGTTTTTATGATAATTTGATATAATGATAGCACAATTGCATTTTCATTTCTGTGACTCGTAAGAAATAACAGAGCGATGACTGGCAGAATGTTTCATACGAACATTGCACGCAACGAATTTGGGATAATCGCAATTCGAAAACCGACCACGCGATTACCGATTTTCACGTGACTGTCAAAAATATAATATTCCATTATATATTTTCTACACGCGGTATGACTGTTTGGCCTAAACGTTGATCAAGCCACGATCGTTGCCATATATAACCGATATCGTTGTATCTACAAAAATGCAGCGTAGATTTAACAAATTTCTTCATATGTTGACATATATTCAGTGTAAACTGCAGATTTCACGTAAATTCACGCAAACAAGTGCATTTTCTAAAGGAACACAAGATATTCAGCTTGCATATTTCGCATACACGTCAAGACCGTTTCGCATACACGTCAAGACCGCAAACAACATCACTTCTATTAGACATAATCGGCGCGAAGATTCATAAATAATTAATTATGAAAAATATTTATAAGCGGATTTACCGAATCCCAAAGAAGCTTGCAACGATACTTGTCACGATTAAATACTTACAACTTTGACTAGGTGGTGTCTAATTTGCATATATTAGCACCGTTTAACAGCTTCTTTGCCTTATTTCGTTACTTATCGCGTTTTGCAATTATACATCACGTGTGCATATAGAGATAAATGCACTTACAACTTAGCCGTCTCACTCATGCACGATGTCTCTTCTTTCCACATTTCTACATACATTCCCTTTTTATTATATTTAATAAAAATGATATTGTTTACGGTCTTACATACACGCACACACACACACACAATATGTATTTGTTCTCACATTCATTCTCTAAACAATAATAAGTTTGTTTCATTTCGATTGAATCATGCGTCACACCTTATATCGATCGTGTCGCATAAAACAAAATTGTATAAAAGCACATTTTTACGCGTATGGCTGGCTCACCATAAGAAGCTCGCATGCATCCTAACGTATACAGAATGCGGTGCGCATACATGATTATACTACTGTGATTTGCATTTTGTTTTACTTCCGGCCTTTTACATCCGGCACATCTCTTCACACGCTTCTGCATGAATCGCAAGTGCGCGTTCCTTTGAACCGCAACAAGAGCAATTGTATAAAAATATATATCATGACAAATGCGCAATAATGTAGTATAACATGACACAATAATTGCCGTTCGGTATATTCGCACTTAGTAAACGACGAGACTTGTGAATCTCGCGAGAGAACTACAATCTTCTAATCTCGATACAACTTTTTATTGTTTTTTCTTTTATTTTGTCGTTGGTCGCTTTGTTATACGTGTTTGCTCACAAATGTGACATGATTTTCGACAACACGACAAAATAAATTATGCTAATTACAAGCTACACGCGAGTTCTGAGTGTCGCGTGTAACTTTCTCTCATTGATTTCTTTAACTTCATTTTGAATAACATACACAAAATACACTTGATATATTATGTATATTTTTTTCTTTCGTGTTATAATATAAATTAGCAAATAATTATAATTTATAAGTCCCACTTTTCAACTTAAATTTGTACAACTTGCCAAGAACGAACTATAGATTAGTGTTGGTTGTATGTAGTTCACTGAAAGTGAAAACTCTGATCCGCACGGACTTATAGATTTGTTCTTAATAATGCATATTAATAGCGCATCGGGATTGTGCATAATAAGGAAAAAAAAGTAAAGCTGTCTGGGATCCAGACTTCTTTCCAGACGCAGATCTGGACCTAGGCGTAGACTTTTCCTTAATTTTCCTTTTTCCTTTCTAAGCTTAACTGATCAGCCTGCAAGTATCTATGACAGCGCGTACTTTGAGAAGTTACCGAGACGTAATGATCGGCACGCTCTCTCGGAAGGAAAACGCGACTACGAAATTTTGCAGAATGCGAAAGTTGCGATAATTTTCGTTAAAAACTTCCGATTAATATATAAAGCAGCAAAGTAAATCGCTCGTACACGGAAAAAAAAATTTATATTAATCAAGTATTTGGTAAAATATAAACAAAGAATTCTAATTAAAGTAGCCAGAATTCTGTTCAAGTTAATAAGATTTATGATTGATCAGAAATCTTTTTAACATAATTTGAACATAATTTTGATAATTTCAACCGGAATTGTAGTTTGTTCATGTTTTACCAAACATTTAGTTAATACAATAAAATTTTTTTCCGTGTATATGTATGCCAAATATATGCGTATATATGCAAAATAGAATATAAAAACGCAAGCGCGCAGAACAAACTGTCAAAACGGTCAATCTCAACTTTAATTATACAGTTTTCTCGATAGATTCGACGTCGATATTTCCTTGCGAGGAAACTTTGAAGAAAATTTCAATATTCCCTATACACCGTATACGTTTCATTAATTAAAGTTCTAACTAAAAAAAAAAAAGTTCATTTAAATTTGAATGAACAAAAATTTAGCGATTTAACTGCAAATTATCTTGTAGTCTCGATCGATCTATTTACAATTCGAATTGCATGAACATTGGTCAAGAAAACATCGACGTCGGGCGTGTAATTAAAGTTAAGACACCCTGCACAAAGACATTCATTGTTTTCGATCCTACAGCGTGGCGACGGTATAAAAATAAGTATATATAAAGTGCATAAAAAATACAAAGAGCGTCCTACTCGCAGATGAACAATCTCTTCTTTCGCTCTTCGTATACACTTTCTGCCTCTCCCCGGATCTTTTAGGGGAAATAATGCGATTGAATATTGCACACAAGACAAGTACTCGACATGTATTGCAGGCTGTTATGAAGAATTCGCGAGCTTATCCTACACATTGCGAACTGCGTAGTGCTTATATCTCTATATAGATTCAAACGTTCTCTCACTAAACTACATCTAGCAGTTTATATAAGTTTTCGTATGTATATGTGTATGTATGTGTATATATATATATATATATATATATGATATATATATATATATATATATATATATATATAATATATATGATATATATATGATATATGATATATATATATATATATATATATATATATATATATATATATATATATATATATATATATATA